CTGTCTCGGTGCTGCTGCGTGCACACCCCAGAGCTGGGTCGGAACAGGCATGCAGTGGGGCACCCACCTGATTGAGGCCGAAGGGGGGGGTCGGTGGTGCCGTAGGTGTGGTCGTGCCTGGTGTTAGAGGCAGGCCAGTTTTTCCTGTGGGGCGGGCGCGCCGGTCGCCAGAGTGCTGTGCGTTCGGGATGGTGTGTGTTGACTGGTTGGGGGGGTCTCGTGGTAAATTGTTAGAAAGGAGGTTCGCGGTCTGAGAGGGCCTGCGCGTGCGCGGTAGTGGGGTTGGGGAAAAGGGTGGTCCTCTAGGTGAGTGAACGTGGTGTAGTTGAGTGAGGATTGGGCGCGCGGTAGTCACAAGATGAGAAAGTTAAGGAGGGTAGAGAGAAAGAGACAGAGACAGACAGACAGATGCAACAACTACAACAATACACTAATAAACATAACAACAAAACATGTAGTTTGTAAATTCGCTGTAGAACATTTTCTGATCATTCGTCCCTGTCAGCAGGACTGTGGTTACCAAACCTTAAAGGTCCAGTGTGTAACATTTAGGAGGATCTATTGTCAGAAATGGAATTATTAAGTGAATATATGGCTCTAGATTGGGATGTCTAGACTGCTTCTCCTTCACGCTTGAAAAGGGAAGGTGAAGTGAGGCAGTGGCGAACTGCAACTACACCATTAGATGCCACTAAATCCAACACACTGGTCCTCATACGTTTTGTTGACCAACCCATCTATCCACCCTGACCTCCTCCCCATGATCACTTTGAGTAATTGTAATATAGAGGACATTACTATCATTATGGAAGCTAGAATGCAGTGCCATTTGAACAAAAAAATAGGCCCTATGTCATCTGTAGCTGAAATGATTGACTTTTCATTGGAGGAATCTTTCAGAAACCAGAAATGACAGGTGAAAAAAATCCTTTTGTGAGCCTTTGTTATTTAGAAACATAAAATTTTTTTTCCCAGCCACTTCTGTCATGTTGTGCAACTGAAGCGGAACAGATTCGGCTCAATTGGCTCAAGACAAAATCTCAAATTTAAACAGATCCACCAACAGATAATTAACACAGATACAGCAAATACAGAAACTTACACAGAAAGAATTAAACATAATTTGAAAGCCTGGAGAAAATGACACACAGTAATAACTGAACCTTCCTATCATCTGGATAATATCCAGGACCCAGCACAAGCCTTTTCAGGGCACCACACAGTATATCCCCCCTCATCATCATTATGTGTTACTGAAATGTAAAACACTTGGCTTGGTGACACTTGTTTTTGTCTTTCCCCAGAAATATCAGTTCATCAGCAATTTTGAATGGATCTTTGTGTTGGACAAATCCGCAGCAACAACTACATATAAGATAGACTAGATCAATTACATTTAAAAGTTTAAAAGAGAGATTTGAACAACAGTACAGTTATTTAGTTAAAGATATACCTCCTGATTTTGTATAATGTCCATAGCACCCCTAATTTACACATTTCCTCCCAGCTTATGTTTGGTCATTATTGTTTATTTCGTACATACAGTAATTGATTTACTTCTGGTCTGTTTTACAGCATTAACAACTTATTATCTCACAATTCTGAGATAATTTTACATAATAAAAAAAACAATCTGCTCTGAAGAGCGTGCTGGTAGTATCTTATTAAGTGCACTGTTTACCCTGTGAGCCATAAAGTTTTGCCTAATTATTTGTGTAATTAATTACAGACAAAAATAAATTTTCATTTCCATTGTTAAAAAACAACTTTTAACTGAATGTGGGGATTTTAGGGGTGCCATTGGATGCATTATTGGAGTGTATCTGTGAATTAAACATGACAAATGATCATGGGAATTTATAGTTGTACTCATCTCCATGCCCACTTATGTTCCTCTGCAGTCTCTAATGACTAGGGCTGGGCATATCTCAGAATCAAAATGTGCTTACTTTCACCTGTGCTATACATTTTTACCTACCTGTAAACTAGTGGAATCCTTCCATTTATATACATCTTTTTCTCTCAAAATGTCAGTCAGTCTTTTACTGCTTATACATGAATTGTTTTTTAGAGTTTCTCAATTCTGCGCCACATGTCCCAAAATTGTCATGTCCAGTGACATTAATGAGTTTACACTATATCAAGTAAATATTTGAAAATGATGATATATTCAAAACCTATGTAGTTTTGTCACATGTATATCAATCATAATTACATATCAGTGTCCACTGTGCACCCCAAGGTTGAAAGCTCTTGTTTAGGCTGTGGTCCTTATTTTAGGTACTGTTCTGGTTGAATGTTACACTGTGGTTGTACGGGAGGTGTATGTTCCATTGCGAAACACCATATCAGAAGCCATACAGTCCTTGGGCAAATCCAGAGGGCTACATGTTGCTTGTCTCTTGAGAGCTACAGCACAGTAATCCACCTGCTCCGCATCTAGCCCAGACTCCAGCCACCGGAAACACACAATGCGCTGGAATGAACGCCGGAAATTGTCAGACACAAAACCGTACAGGATAGGATTGGCACTGCTGTTGGCATAGCTGAGGATGACAAAAAGCTGAGTGACCATGGGGTCCGGAGGCCGATGGAATACACTGACCAGCTGGACGATGTAGAAGGGCATCCAGCAGAGAACAAACACTGCCACAACTAGCAGCACCATGCGGGTGATCTTCTTCTCTGAGCGCCGTCGTTGAAGCCATCCTGCTTTCAGCCCCACCGCTCGCATCCTGGTTACCATTAGACAGTAGCACAAGCAGATAGCCCCGACCGGCAGTAGAAATCCCAACAGGAAGGTATAGACCACAAATGCTTCTGACCATGCTGCTTCAGGCCACAAGAAGTTACAGTCCACGCCACCGTCCTGCGCTGGGACAGTGTCTGCGAAGATAATGATGGGCAGGATGACAATGAGTGACAGCCCCCATACGCATACATTCACTACTTTTGCTACAGTGGGTCTACGGTAGCGGGCAGCCTTGATAGGGTGGACCACTGCTACATAGCGGTCCACACTTAGCACAGTCAGGCAGAAGATTGATGTAAACATATTGATACCATCTACGCTCAGCACCAATCTACACATCAGCGACCCGAAGGGCCAGTGGCGAACGGCAGCCGATGTGGCCAGAAAAGGAACACTTAACATGAACAACTCGTCAGCGATCGCTAAGTTGAGGATGTAAATATTGGTGGCTGTTTTCATTTTGGCATATTTCAGAATGACATAGATAACCATGGCGTTGCCAGTAAGACCTACACAGCAGACAAGAGCATAGATGGATGGGATGATGATTTTACTGGCGTCAGGCTCCTGGTAATAGTCGTCATAGTCCATGCTTGTGTTAAAGGGCAGCCCCGTTGGATAAGACCCATAGTCTTGGCTCCCATTGAAATCCATGTTCACTTTTGATGGGTCTGTGATGCTAACTTTAAGTTTGAATGATGCCAGCCAATGGAGCTATAGAGAGATGAAATAAAACAAAATGTCTTAGGCTTCTTGGCTTTCCAAGAGTACCACAGATTACTAAAGGGCCAGGCTTAAAACATTACCTTGATCAGTCAGTTTTACTAATGTTTTTGTTTACTCAATACTTAATACCGAATTACATAAAAATGGTGTATAGACGTGCTGACATCCTGGAAAGACTTCATCGGAGCTGTAGTTTTTTGAATGCTCATTAAGGGTTCAAGTTCTAATACTGAGTTCTGTAGCTTTTATCTTAGAGCATAGATAGTAAATCTCTGGAATGCTTGATGAAGTAAACCCTCAATAAAAATGAGGAGCAACAGATATCTTGGAAGTAGTGTCAGGACTTCGGCTCTCTACTGTCCTTTGGTTTCTATGACAGTTCACAGTAGAGAGGATCATCAAACGCATTTATGTTCTTAGTTACTGTCATCCAAGAAAGAGCAAAACTCCACTGTTCCTCTCCTCACTGTCCATATGTCCTTGAATATCCTGGGTCTCTTGTATCTTTGTTTGTGAGGGATTTATTATTGTAAAGTCCATACAACCTTGAACATTCTTTTCCTCTTAGCTATAGAAAAGCAGGGTGGGTGGCAATCTAAGCACCTATTCTACACCCTGATTCACAGGATTGTTGGTAAGGAATTATTTCCATTTTCCTTTACAAGTAAAGGTCCATCTGTTGCAGATGAAGGTAAGTGCAGAGTTCTGATCAAAACCCTGGGTGGGACCACTTGAACACATAGACATATGACATACACAACACCCCATCTGTTGATTGCAACTGGGAATTCTGGCAGGTCAAATCACGTCGAGTGTCCACTTAAAGGTGGTGTTATTTGGCTCCTGCACTCTTGTTGATAGAGTTCTGCAGCCGTGCAGAGAAATCAGGTTCCTGCCGAAGCTTCCCTTCAGGATACATTATGCTCCCATTTTCTCTGACCTGAATTATGAAAGCCTGTGAGAAAACAAAGAACTGTCACTTAGTTTGCCTCTGACAGACACCAAGCACAACATCAATGTAATAGTGAGTCATACCTAAGAGGACATGACAATGCAGTAGCACCACTGCACCAGAAGTGAATAAGCCTGAAGACATCTCAGCAACTTTTTATTTTACAGTCCGCTAATTACCTCATATTTATTAGGAAACTAGATGGTAACAGTATGCAAAAAGAAAAAAAAATACTTAGGACAGGGAAAAAACATGGTTCTTTCATAGTAAATTAAATCAAACCATTGAAGAGCACGGAACTATGGATATGATTCCTGAAAACATAAACATAAGCATAAGTACCAATCATCAGGCAACAACAAGATACTGTGGAATTGGCAGTATTATGGTTAAGTAACTGGAACTCACCAATGGACTGAAAGAGCAACAAAAATGATGGTATTTCCATGTACATACTGTGGCATTTCCTAGTAAGTATGTACCCTACTAGGAAATAACAGAGTACTTATTAACCATTTATTTAGGTACTTTCTTAACAAGGATATTTTTACCATCTGGTTTACAAGACAAGGAGGAAGATAACATTTTCATGACCTTACTAGTAGGGATGCTCAATATTGGCTTTTCTGCCGATATCCGATATTCCGATATTATCCAACTCT